CTCAAGCTTTTTGAAAGAATGGTATCTCATCCTTTCCATTCTTTCTATTTCTAGCTCATTCAAGCCTTGACACCATAAGACTGCTTTCTGTGAAACACCCTCTGCCAGTTCCTTGTTAAACCAAAGTCATACTTGATAGTCCTTACAGAGGCCATCTTCAAGAAGGGGACAGTTGCACTTGGCTTTGCTTGAGACAGTCTCCCTTTGTAGCATAAGTTGGCTTCTACCTTTCAATCCTCTTGTCACAGTCTCCTTTAAAGTGTCTTATTGTGTACGTGTGTGTGATGAGTATTTGCACAGATATGCCTCACGTCGGCTGTAGAGACGAGGAGTCCATTCCCTCCTTGTGTCTCCCAGGATGGAACTTAGGTCATCAGGCTTTTTACCTGGTGAGCTACCATGATGGTCCAGCTAGCATCCCCATGCTGGTCCAGCCAGCATCCCAAGTGCCAGAATTGTCTGGTTACCTGTATACCATCATACCTAGCTAGACCAGAACATTGAAAAAAAAAAGTAACATTTTTTTTTTTTCCTGAGATGGGGATCTCCTTATGAAGCTCTCACTGGCTTAAAACTCTCAAAATCTTATCCTGACTCTTTGAAAAACAGGTGTATGTTATAGCTTTCCGTATTTAATTCTAACTAAATATTTTGGTGCTCCCATTTTATGCTTATAACAACAGTAAACTGCCATGTACTGAAGTGAAAATGGTTTCTTTTCTGTTATCTGGTTTTTAGATCTTGAAGCCCTTGTTTTTCTGGTACAGTAAGAGTAGAAGATCTTTGTTGGACTTTAGGGAATCTAGCACTAACTTAGTCCTGTATGTGTTGGTATTGTTTTAGTTTAAGATTTTTAAGACTTTTTGTTGTTGTTGCTGTTAGTTCTTTCTGGGATTTTGCCAGGAATTGTTTTAATTTTGTAGGCTGCTTGGAGAAGAATTGGAGGGCAGAAGATCTAGAGAATTGCTACACTTCTTAAATATTACTATGTTGGTTCTTCCAGTCCCTGAATACGGCAAATCATTCTAATCAGGTCTTCATTAAATATTTTTCATGTCGGACAGTGGTGGCGCACGCCTTTAATCCCAGCACTTGGGAGGGAGAGGCAGGTGGATTTCTGAGTTCGAGGCTAGCCTGGTCTACAGAGTGAGTTCCAGTACAGCCAAGGCTACACAGAGAAACCCTGTTTCGAAAAACCAAAAAAAAAAAAAAATTCATGAGGATCTTATAAACCTGAGCCTATATCTTGTACATATATTTTTTTCATGTTCTGTTAACTTAGGCTTTAAAAGTTCCTATTCTGTGTTGTTGCTCATGACTGTAATTCCAGACCCCTGGAACCTAAGGAGTTCAGGTCATCCTCAATTTGACCTTAGGCTTTGGTATTTGAGACTCTTATTTCAACATAACCAAGAGGTTAATATCTTTGGTATCAGGCACGCGCATGTGTACGTCAGGAGGGAGGAGAAATGGAAAAATGTACTCTTCAGTAAAGTAAGTTTGCTAAATGGTTTTTCTTTACCCTACTGGTCTAGTGTTTATCCTACCACTCAAGTCCCTGTATTATGTGCCTCTGAATATCTTTAATTTGACTTCATATCTAATTGCTAAAAACCAAGTCTCTTACTATGGGGAGGGTCTACTCCTCTGTTGCTTGAACATACCTTATTCATTTAATTTCCATGTCTCTGCTTATGCCATCTCCCCTGTAAAATAGTCCTTTCATACCTATAATCCGGTGCTCAGGAAGCTGAGGCAGGAGGTTTGCTATGAGTCTGAGATGGTAGCAGAGACTGGGCTGTATAGTGAGTTCCAGGCCAGCCTGGGCTACAGAGGGAGAACCTATCTTAAAAAATAGTCTTTTTACTGAGTTTTTTTTAAAATCACAAACCAAACCTTAATTATTCTCTAAGGAGGTTAGAACTGTTCCTGAGAGGCCTTCCCTTAAAAAAACAAACACACCACAGCTGGGCATGGTGGTGTACCCCTTTAATCCTAACATTTGGGAGACAGAGCCAAGAAGATGTCTGGGAGTTCAAGGCCAGCCTCATCTATATATTGAATTCCAGGACATCTATAGCTACATAGTGAGACCTTGTCTCAACCTGCTCACCCTCAAACTGCTCTTCTATCTCTCATCTTTCCCCTGTAGACTCATGATGATGATTTAAGACTAGATGTTGGCCGGGCAGTGGTCGTGCATGCCTTTAATCCCAGCACTTGGGAGGCAGAGGCAGGCGGATTTCTGAGTTGGAGGCCAGCCTGGTCTACAGAGTGAGTTCCAGGACAGCCAGGGCTAC